TCATCATCATTGTCATTGTCTCATCATCATCATCATCATCATCATCATCATCATCATCATCACCATCATCACCATCATCATCACCATCATCATCATCATCATTGTCATCACCATTGTCATCATCATCATCATCATCATCATCATCATCATCATCTTCATCATCATTGTCATCATCACCATCATCATCATCATTGTCATCTTGGTCATGGTCACCTTCATCATCATCATCATCATCATCATCTTCATCATCTTCATGGTCGTCATCACCATCATCATCGTGGGCATGGTCATCTTCGTCATCTTCATCATCCTCATCATCCTCATCGTCTTCGTCATGGTCATCACCATCATCATCATCATCATTGTCATTGTCATCATGGTCATGGTCATCTTCATCATCATCATCTTCATCATCTTCATCATCATTTGGGGCCATTTTAGATCCATTTTGGGGCCATTTTGGGACATTTTTGGCCATTTTGGGCCATTTGGGGCAATTTTGGGAACATTTGGGGACATTTTGGGGCCATTTTGGGACATTTTGGGGCCATTTTGGGACATTTTGGGGCAATTTGGGGCCATTTGGGACCATTTTGGGGCCATTTGGGGCAATTTTGGGAACATTTTGGGCCATTTTGGGGCCATTTGGGGCCATTTTGAGACATTTGGGGTCATTTTGGGGTCATTTTGGGACATTTTGGGGCCATTTTGGGCCATTTTGAGACATTTGGGGTCATTTTGGGGTCATTTTGGGCCATTTTGGGATCATTTGGGGCCATTTGGGGCCATTTTGGGACCATTTGGGAATATTTTGGGCCATTTTAGGTCCATTTTGGGCCATTTTGGGAACATTTTGGGAACATTTTGGGCCTTTTTGGGCCATTTTGGGGCCATTTGGGACCATTTTGGGGTCATTTTGGAACATTTTAGAACATTTTGGGGCCATTTGGGACAGTTTTTGTGGCATTTTGGGGCAATTTTGGGTCATTTGGGGCCATTTTGGGGCCATTTGGGACCATTTTGGGGTCATTTTGGAACATTTTAGAACATTTTGGGGCCATTTGGGACAGTTTTTGTGGCATTTTGGGGCAATTTTGGGTCATTT